TCTTGCGGAGCTCCCCTTCACTTTCCTCTAGTCGCTGCTGCAACACGGAGTTCTCTTCCACCTTGGTGTCATGTTGGCTTCGGAGCGCTTCTAGGTTTGCTCTCATTCTCTCCCTCTCTTCTTTGATGTTCTGTTGATTCTACATGGGGGCCTTAAACAATTAAAACTTAACCTGCAGTAAGTGCTGCTTGAGCAATAATATAATCTATTTAATTAATTAGTTTATTACTTTAATAAATTGATTTAATAATTAGTTTATTGATTTAATAATTGATTTATTAATAAATTAATTAGTTATGTCGATTTAATATATGCACAGTATAGTGCATTTAAAGGGGCAAAGAAGTATGCAGTTCACTTTTGAATTACTCCTTTTTTAAAACGGTGGCATTTTTAAAGTAATTTTAATGCTAAAAATTATTTATTCCTTTGCTCTGTTGCTTGGCACTGTGCTAAGCATGAAATGGGGGAGGAAGCAAAGATGATATGTTCTTGAATTAACTAGTAGTAGAAGAAAGAGATAGATACAAAAACAGTGCAAGGTCAAGTGCGCTAACATAGAGAATCTAGAAAGACAGAGGGTATCAGGGAAAGGGAAACTAACAAGTACCGTTTTCAGTTACCAGGGGAAATCAGTAACTTAAGAGATTCCCAAGAACTAAGGTAACATCTTTCCCTTTTCGAACCAATAAAATGTCCACACAAGGAATCACAGAATATGACAAAGTCTCATCTTCTATTCAAATTTGTTTGTGAAGCTACTCTTTTATTGAAAGCCACAAATTGTTCAGTGACATTTCTGGGAACTTATCTTTAGGAAATTCTTTTAAAGTAGTAAAAGGATATATGTAAAAAATGTTCACCACATTTGTTCATAATTGCAAAAAAAGAGAAACAAATATAGGAGGATGGTTAGATATATTACGTTTTATCTCCTTAAAAAATGAAAGATGAAGACTATAAAGCATAATAAGGAAAAATATGTCTGACATATTAACTTTTAACAGCAGGTATCAGACTGTAGGGACACTATGATTTTCCCCATACCATATATAAATGGACAAATGAAACCTATCCTTGGATGGGGCAGCAAACAGAAAATACAGAAATAAAAATTTTTTTTTAGGCATTAGGAAAATATGTGTGTGTCCTCATTTTAAAATTTCATTTTATATTGCTTTAATATTATTTCCATGATAAATACCTATTTCCAAAGCCCCATTCTAACATACCTTGTCTTTGTTAACTCTGAGCCCTAAGAGAAGGCAGGGTCATGAGAAGCAGCGTAATTCTAAGAACAGGGTGGTTTTTAAGGAATCGTTTGATAAAAAGAGAAATACTAAAAAAGAACAGGCTTAGACCTTCTCAGGAGAAAAGGTCTAAACAGGGACAGAAAGGGTCATGTGGGGAGAAGAGAAAAATACTCTGTCCACGTGAAAAACAAGTTCATGAGAACTCCCATGCTATGTGGCCACAATCACTCCCCTCTCAGCTCTGCCCAAGTCATGGGGAAGAGAGAGGCGAAGCTCTAAAAAGCAGGAACTAAAATCCTTCCTGGGCAATTATTTCAAAACTAAAGGAGGAAGGGAGTGAGAAAACAGTTACAATTGAGACTTAAAGAGAGCTTCAAAGACCTAAGAGCCAGAAGCTTCCAACCCCAAAAAAGGGACAAAGAAAACACCTAAGCCTAAGGGGAGGCAGGAAAAAATTAAAACTAGCAAAGTACCTTTATTTTTTGACTTTTTTTTTTTTTAGCTTTGTTTTAAATGGTGTATCATTTATTTGTCAGGCTGTTCCTACAAACCAAAGCGTATAAAGAAAGAAATTTCAAAACTATTCCCAAATACAGGGGTTGATAATGTTATAGCAAGTATCAAACATCTAAATGCACAGAGATAAAAGTTCTTTTTCTGACCCTCAATTATATTTATTTCCAACAAAAAAAATGTAGATGTTCAAAACCAACATTCTTGCTTTCTAACCATTTTATACATGTATGTGTACCTGACACCTCAGCAGGATGGTAACCTGATTCAGGGACGAGATAGTAACAGTCTATAACAAGCCCCATAATAGTCAACAAATGCTAAGCAGAGAGGAAAGAGTCTAGCTTATCCATGGACTCGTAGATTAATGAGAGTGAAATATTCAATAACTCTTATGGGCAGAAGCCGGATGGGCAGCCTGGGTAGAGTTTTTTCCTCTATTCACTCACTCATCATCGATCCATTCAATCGTCCACCAAATATTTCCTGACTGCTACAAGTCCCAGGCACTGTGACACCCCCTGCAGATACAGTGCTCCCTGCCTTCACGGAGCTTAGGGTCGCATGGGGGCCTTAAACAATTAAAACTTAACCTGCAGTAAGTGCTGCTTGAGCAATAATATAATCTTAAAGTCTCTAAAATGTTTTTCCATAAACAGCATACTTACAAAATAGTTTGGTCCCAACTGTAACTCCAGTCTATTAGTGTTTAGATCTAATTTCCAATGTACTAGAATCACAGGGGATAGTAGAACAAGTTAGTGGACACCATAAGGGAACAATCAGATAAACCCAGAATGCAGGCACTGCTCCGTTCTCTTCAGAAGGTCAGTGGGGTGGGAGAAAGAGCAGGAAATGGGGGGAGGGGGATATACTACGGTAAATGAACTCAGAGAGG